ATAATTGCAATATTTTACTGCTTCGGAAAACTTCCAACATCCATTTTATTAAAGATAAAGTTAATAACAAAAAAGAGTATATCAATATGCAAATATTGTCAATTGACATATAATTTCCCAAATTCAACATTAGATGTCTCAGCATATCAAAAAATGTCAAAGGTATATTAACAGTTACAATTTAAATAAGTTGATAATAATAATTCTACTGAACAGAATATTGTAATATGTATACCAGATTCCAGTAATTCTAATAAAATAATATCCCAAAAAAACACAAATAAAAGTATTCTAGATACGTTTAAAGAAAATACCAATATAATAATGTATCAGGCACATCTTAAATTAAATCATTTTTTGACACTGTAACTTAACAAAATCAAACACAACTTTACAGTGCGTTGGCATTAGCTACTATTTTTATGTCGAATTGCCCTTTTCATTTTGTTAAAAATAAATATTTTATCAATTTTAAAATTAATGCGCATAGCCTATAAAATTCAATCAATTAGAAAAACATTATTAGATTTTGAATATAATAAAGTGACAAATATTATCAACAACAAATTCGATACCTTAAAAGATTTTATTCTCATTAGCGATGGCTGAGCAAACAGTAGGGAAGAACCCATTTTATTTAAATTTATTGACACAGTATCTAGTGTTCACACTGGTGAGTATGTAGCATCTGAGCGGATAAAGGCAATTGAAGAAATTGGTAGTAAAAAATTTATTTACTAGTAACTAATAATGCAAAGAATATAAAAAAGGAATTTTCCCGAGGAAACTTCCACTGAAAATTTACATCTCTAGAAATAAATAGACAAAGTATTTTTTGCCATTTTTTTCAATTTTTGGAATAAAATTTGAACAGCGGGTATCCCCGAATAATGTCACCTTTGGACGCCCTTTGAGTCCAATGCGAGCAAAAATGACGAGATAAATTAATTTATTAAAATTGTATCTGGTTGTTTCTCAGCTTACGTGAAGTTTTTCGACTATGACAATTATTCATTCCTTCTTCATGTAAATCAAGAATTTTCTCATGAGTAATTGGATCTATTAGAATTCCGTGGGGTATTTGAAATTAAAATTCAAAAATAATTGTGAAAAACTAAAGTTTAACTATTTTGCAGTTGTTAAAAAGCAGATGAGGAATTCCATGGGGCATTTGAAATTAAAAATAATTGTGAAATACTAAAATCTAAACGTGTTCTTGCATATATTAAAAAACTCTACTAAAATAAGTTATGTTATGACATCTAAAAAAATCTACTAGCATAAGGAATGTTATGACCATTTAAAAAAATATACTAACAAAATATATGTTAAGACAATTTTAAAAAAATCTACTAACATACGGTATGTCATGACCATTTAAAAATTGACTAAAACTCGTAATTAAAACGGCAATATTTTTCCATTAAAGCTATTGTCTATAGAAATTAATGATCCAAAATAAGTTGTAAAATCATTGGAATCTTGAAACTAACCTTAAATTGCCGTATTAAAATTACAAAATAAATTTTTCTCGCAAACATTGGTATAATATAAAATGTAAAACCGACGCTATTTTTGAATTTGGATAGTATATTATAGCATCAAAATATTCATAATAATCAATTTAATGCTATTAAAAGTAGCGCACTACGATACTTTTATAGAAAAAATTAGCTAATTAACACGCTGTGCCGATATAAATATAGGATCATCACTGATATTTTACGTTTTCGAAAAATATCAGCCCGATTCGATAAAACACTTCAGATCTGATATTTTTTATTGTTTTTGGTTATTTTATGATTGTATATATTGGTATAATTTTTATTATTTTATAAATAATTTCATTAATATAATAAGGGAGAAAAATATAATTTATTTGTTGTAATGTTTAAAAAAAATAGTTAATAAATTTTTTATACTTTATATATAAATTTTAAAGGCTCAAAAAATTCAAATTTCAATTTTGGGTCATTTTAGTGATTCATATCGTGGTTATATTCACTTTATATTTTATAATTCACATTTATTTTATGGGTTTTCAATGCCGGTTTATATATATAATTTTAGAAAAGTTATTAGTCCTAATAAATTTATGCTTAATATTTTTAAATAACAATAATATTTCTTAAAAAATTTTATTATCCCCCCCCAGACCAAATTCTTGCGTACGATTCATTTTAATCCTATTTTTTTGGTATTTCTAAGCCCAAGTGGTCCCGATTAAAAAATTTCAACCCTAAGCTGAGTTGCATGCAGGATATAGAAAATGCCATGTTTTTATTTTTTATTTGAACTATTTGGAATAACATTATTCACCTGGACCCCGAGTCTATGCTTGGGGTTCGTGCTCAGAGCTGGTTTGGTCGATTTTTTAGACCCAAACCCCGGGTCTTTTTACACAACCAACCAATTAACAACACTACCTTTAGCTACCTCATTGTTGAAAGTGCTAGGGAATAAATGTACTTTGACCCACGTAAAAAACGAGATGCTTAATTTGGAAAAACACATAATACATACCATGATTCTATATTTTGCCCAAAGAAAAAAATTAATGTTTGGAAAGAGAAAAAAATGATCTAAATACATGTGCTTACAATGCTGCTTATTTAATGGACCCCCAATATCAAGGGAGAATCTTATTAGTACTGAATTTGATGAAGCATGTGATATAATGCAAGAATTAGGTATTTTACAAGGTGGTGATAATCAAAATATTATAATAAATTTCAGAAGTAAAAGCGGCATATTTAATAGTCAAAATATGTGGAAAGTAGTAACTTATGTAAGAAACAATCAGGTTTCGGCCTTAAGTTAGGGGAAGGAACTTTGCCTACCTTACCTATTAAGAGAAGTAGCTATATTTTACAAACATTTCCTAGTGCGAATTCTTCTTCAGAAAGAAATTGGTCGGTTTAAGGCAATATTCATACGAAAAACAGAAATCGATTGAACTTCTACAACAGGAAAATTGGCAAGAGTATATCATAACTTAAGAATAGAGATTTAAATTTCCCGGTAAAATTGGTTCAGGAGAAATTTCCCAGGAAAATTGGGGAAAAGGGGAAAATTAAAAATAACCCCAAAATATACTTTAAACCTTTCAATTTTTTATTGTATTACTTTATTAAATTTGTGGAACTAAGGGAAAATAAAATAATTAAACAATAAAGCAAAAATATACTATAAACATTTCATTTTTTTGAATAACTTTTATTTACAATAAGCATGTATTATAAATTACATTTAAAATTCATGGGATGCTAAAGAAATAGAATTAACAACTTCATGGGATGTAATTGAAATATCATCATTATCATCATCACTTTATATGATAAATCGATCCCGAACATGTATTTGTGTGATCCTTATCCTTTAATGTTTGTTATGCCTGATTGATATTAATTTCCAACTCTTACATTCTTTATTCTATTTCTCGTTTTTTGAATGAATTTTTCCAGTGGTCAAAAGGCATCTTACTGCCACTTGACAAAGAGGTTGATTTGTACACAACCTTTTCCACCATATGAGTGGTTTGGTATGGATCGAGCTCTCCCATATGCCAGCTTCTCTATAGAAACCTTGTTTTGTTATGGATAATTCTGCTAAATTATTCATAATTTTTCCAATATCGCAATTAATTTGGCCTGAATATTTATTAAATTTAAAGCTACTGTTAATTCGCGGTTTGTTAATTTCACACCATATCTCTAGGATCCAGAAGATTTGTTGATTAATGATATTCTCGGCAACAAAATTTCTTTCGCTTATTAATAATCTTAATACTTCTCAAATCATTTTCATTAAAAATAAGAGTTGATAAATTAAGTTTATCTTTTATATCCCAAAATATTTCTGGTACGTCAGATAATACAACCGAATACTCCTAATTTTAATAGGGCCCTCCAATTCTACAATTATTTTTGTTATAAATAAATTCCAAAAAAGTCAGTATAGATTCTAATTTATCCCGGTATCCTTCTTTATCCAATATAATTCGCCTCCTTTATTTGTCTATAAATCAATTTGAAATTGCAATTTCTTACAAAACTTCCTTATTTTTCAAAACACTTTGCAACATTATAACAAAATTTTAAGGAAGATATATATCCTTTCTTTCTATAAAATTTGCCAATAAAATACCATTAAATTTTATGATCAATATTTAATAAGCAGATTCAAGCCATGTGTGGCACATCCAAAGCATTCAATTAAAGACTCACGAAGAAAATAAAAATTATTTTAAAATTTATGATATAAAGTAAATTATAAATCATAATTTTTGAAATAAAATATTATATTTTATAAAATATAAATCATAATTTTTGAAATTAAATGATATATTTATATTATGGGAAAATTCGGAATATTTCCCTACCTTTACATCTCTACTTAGGAATGATTAAAAATATTAAAGAAAATAATAATATTGAAAATAAATCAGAATAAGCCTCTGCAACGGAGGGCGAAACATCTATTGAATGAATTAAAATATTATAAAATTACATAGATTCATTATATAAAATAAATTTAATAATGGCGTAAAAAATATTTATTTGAATATGACCATATTGGACCGGTGAAATATCAGTCAATTAACCGAATCGAATTTGACCGGTCAAATGCACAACCCTGATAAAATCAACTTTCACATAAACTCATCTAGTTCGGAAATATTATATATATTGCTTAGATTCAAATTTATTTAATATTAAGGATCGGGCTACACATGGATATAATCTGTTTAATTAAAAAATTCTTAGTCCCTTTTTTGAAAAAAACAAAATCAAGGCCAATCATGCGTCCTTTATTTTATTTTGAATGCCCTAAATTATATTATGAATTTTATCTAATATTTTATTATCGCTGGCATTCGGGTGATAACTGTATCTCGTAAAAAATTGACCATAAATCAAATTCATATTTAAAATTATATTTATAATAGCACTGAATAGTTAAAAGTTTATATAAATATTGCATGTAAATAAAATTAAAACCTTGTTGAATTTATAATTCTGTAATGTTTCTGGTAGGAAAAAGTAAACCAAGAATAAATTTAGGATAGAAAGAAACAGTGATAGATAAGCCACCATATCATATGAATAATGACTCAAGGAGACGACTTCATTCGATTTTAAATAACGTGATGCCATAATTCCGCCTATTAAAGGTCCCACAATAAAACCCATAGAGAATGCGGCTCCAATCAAAGCCTAATATATCATATTTTATATACCATTTATATACTTGATAACAAATTATAAAAATTACGATAGTATTGAGAACATTAGAATCATATACAAGTAGGGCCCTGCATGGGCTATTCGAAGCCTGGCCCGACCCCGAATACTGAATCTTTTTCTCGGGCTGTAAGGGATAGCTTGACCAAAGGCCCAAAGAGTTTTTACAGTAATGTTGTATCCGATAAATTTTTGTTATTGAACGATATCAAATTTAAATTGTTTATTAGATTAAATTTAAAATAAATATTATTTTATTTCCATACAAATTTTTACAACTTATAAAATAAAGTATTTTTATTGTTTAAAAAAGATTATGGCAATATGCACTTATAGAAAAATAATTTTACTATATACAACGTTTCGATAAAATCTTAGTTATCTTTTTCATGGAAATAATATATTAATAAGATGAAAATTTAGATAAAAGAGAAGGAATTTTTCCGAGTTAAAATGATTTTAAAAAAGAACCTTAATAATATTTTAGCACAGAGTAATTTTTAATAATTAACTAAATAATAAAAAATTATCTATTAAATACAACACCACCATTTCTTCCAGCGCACCAGTTTAACGCTTATTCAGTGTAGCTAACAGTGTCTCCTTGATAAAATATTTAAAAATGCTTTATTGTTAAAATGTATTGATGTCAATTTGTAAATATTTGATATAGCTCCATCGATTCTTCTCCTTCGCGTAGCAAAGCTCAACGCTTTTTTAAAAAATTAGAGACGAATTCGCGAAAAAACTGATCAGCCCAAGGTATCTCTCACAGCAAAGGTTTACTACCACGCTTATTCGCTCTAATAGCGACTAATTTTATTTCTTCCATCAAATAATCATTCATACCTCCTTATACTTTATTTTCTTCCCTTTCCTGATTTCTCTCTTATTTTTCCTCTTAAGACATTGTCCTAGTTTTTGTATAATTTATTACGTTTTTGTTCAATTTATTACTAAGTTTTCTTTATTGTAAAAAGTTATATTTTTTTATTTATTATTTTTGATTGGTAGACAAAGCATAATCATAAAAAATAAATAAGGATTATTATTTTTTTTGTGATTTATCATTTTCTTCGTTTTTTTATCATTCTTCGATTTTGGTTAATTCTATTTTTTTTTGATGCAAATTCTTAATATTCTATAAACAAATTCTTAATTTCAATGTATAAAGATTTCTTAATTTTTCGGTAGTGTAATACAAAATTAATAAAAATAAACGACTTAGTCGAAAACTGAGTCTAAGTTTTGGGTCTAAAAAATCGACCCAAACTGACTTGAGTTATGAACTCAAGTCGTGAACTCAAATCAACTCAAGTCGTGAACTCAAGTCCTAACAGTTAATAAAGTCTACAGACCTCAACAATAACAACAATAAATTGGTATAAATAAGAGGAACGTTTCATTACGGAGAATATAAACCCACGACATCAGAAAATCGATTGAAAAAACTAGGTTTACTTAATATTGGTAGAAATTTAATCCTCAATTACCAAACAAATTATTGATAAATTGGCGCAATCGCAAAGAACATTAAATTTCAATTTATGAACGATATTTTTATTAACTTTTTAAATGATCATATAATGATTAATTCTATATTTAATTGTGATTTATATATAGCTATATATTTTTTCTATTATATTCACTCTTAAATATTTTGTATTTTCCAATATTTAATTATTTGTATTCTAAATTGTCATTTTGGTTCTAATAAATTTTTAATGTTCCAAAAAAACAAATTCAATAGAAAAAAAAAATTATCCCCTTCCATCCCAGTAGAACCTGTCTACGTGCCTTATTAGATGAATAAACATAAAATAAATTTTATCTCATGAAAAAGAAAAAAATGATAGATAGTCTAGTTTTTATGATTATTATTATGCATCTAAATTCATTATGCAAGAGATATAATATATTATAATCACCATAATTTTTCCTCTGTCTTTTGGTTCAGAGCAATCTGTTGCTATTGTAGTTAAAATAGATATGTTCGATTTACAAAGTCCCCCAATAATACGCGAGAGCATAAAGGTTGAGAAACAAATTGATTGGGACCACAGGTAATATGAAGTACTTATTCCTAACTTTATAAAATTATAAATAAGGATTGTATGGATTAATTTTAATATAAATTAATACATTTCATTAAATTTTGTATTGTAATCAGGGTGTTAGTTTATTTTATAAAGGTTTTATTCCATTTCGGTTTTTTTTGAAAATTCATGGTTAGGTTAATAATTTATAACGGTTCTTTTGGGTTTGTTCCGGATTTTATAAATTTGATTTTAAAGAAAGATTAATCGTAAACCATATATATAAATCTTAGAGAAAAATCTTTTTAATTTATATTTTTAAAATTTCTTATTTAATTTAACCATGATAATCTAATAGATATTATTAAACTTAAGACAAATTAATTTTTTTTATTTCATAAATATCTAAGATAAAATCAAACATGTGCAAATACAAATGGGGAATAAAATAAAGCATAAAGATAATGAAATTTATACAATTTATGTTTAAAAATAGAATTTTAACGGATAACAAAATATTTCAGGATTTAATTTAGTTCTCTGCGCAGAGAGTATAAACTTAAGATTGGGAAATGCTCACCTGTGGAACTGCTAGCATAGTTATAGCTAACTTATAAAGTTCTGGCATACTATTCTTTACATTTTTCTAATAATTTAAAAGATTGTATCTTTTTCTAACTCTATATTATCAAATGATCGAATTAAATATTCTATTTATATAAATATATTATAATTTTCTATGCCCTGAGAATTATTCTTAATAATACTTTCATGCGACTTTAATAAATCTTCAAAATCATCATCTAAATTATCTTTTGAATGTGAACACATAGGCATAGTATCAGAATTTCAATATTCGGGATCTGATTATCCAAGTTTTAGAAAGATGTTTTTTAGCGATCTCTTTTTCTTCAAATGTTAAAAATACATTATATCTTGGGTCGGGATATATAGCTGAGCAAAATACTTTATTTTTTAAATTTATTTCTCGTGCCTTTATCGTAACTAAAAGTCTTGCAAATGGAGTGTCTACTTTGCACAGGAATCGCCCATTGTCAATTGTTCACTTTGTATATATTTGGCAAAATATAAGCTGGATATAAAGCTTTTAATATATCGCTAATCATTTATTTTCTGACTAACATTTTTGGCGATCATTGCTTTGGAGCGATATTTCTTGGCAAAAGTTTTTTTTAACTCTAATCTCTCCGGCATTAAATAGATTGAGTTACATTTTGTGCAACAAACAATCTATTAGTGGTTTTTTCAAATTTAATTTGGACAGAATAGCCATTTGTCTGATTTCTTATTTTTTTGCATATGTTTCTTGCTTTATTTATAATGACATTCATTTGAATTTTTAATGCAATTATTAATTGAAATGTGTGTGAGGGACTGGTTAAATACCAGATTTATATTTTCAATATTAAAAGGTTCTTTATTAGTTTGTTAAAAAGTCGAGTTCACCCGACTCTGACTCAGAGTCTGAGTCGTTAGTCGACTCACTGAAGTCGTGAACTCGAGTCGAGAACTCAAGTCGACTCGAATCGTGAACTCAAGTCGAGTCCATCGTGAACTCAAGTCAACTCAAGTCGACTCGAATCGTGAACTCCAGCCAACTCGAGTCATAAACTCAAGTCGACTTGAGTGAACATGAGTTTTCCACTTGAGTCGTGTACTTAAGCCGACTAGAGGACGAATATTTCGAATAAGTTTTGTATAATATTATTTTTGTTACAATTAATTTGTGGTTTTCATGCAAAAATTTTAGGCAAAATTTGAATTGATAAGAATTTAAAATCTTCTTTTTTAATTAATTTTTTTGTGAATTATTAATCTTTTAGTTGAAATCTTTTATGGGTTTATTTTTATCATTTTGGTAAAATTATCTTTTTTTTAGTATATTAAAAGAACTAGTTTAAAAAATTTATAAATATTTATATTAAATTTTTATGTTATTTTACATGATCGTCTTATAATATTTTAATGTGATAATTGTCATGATATTTTTTAACATTTTTGAAATTTTTGGTACAAAAGGGTAAAAATATAATTTATATTATAAATATGTTAAATTATAAATTCAATGATGATGTTCCTTTGTAAAAATGACAAATATCATAATCTGTATTTTAAAACATATTAGTTTATTTTTGACGCTAATGGGTAAAAATATAGATTGTAAATATGTTAAATTAAAATTTCAGTGAAGATTTCCCCTAGATAAGTGACAATTGTCATAATCGTTATTTTTAAAGTTTTTTGAATTTTTTTAAAGCAAATGGGTAAAAATATATATTGTAAACATGTTAAATTAAAATTTCAAAGATGTACCATAGAAAGTGACAATCGTCATAATCGTTATTTTTGAACTTTTTAAAGTAAATAGGTAAAAACATATATTGTAAATTAAAATTTAAGTAAAGATACCATAGAAAAGTGACAATTGTCATATCATAATCGTTATTTTTAAAGATTTTTGAATTTTTTAACGTAAATACGTAAAAATATAGTATGTAAATAAATATGTTAAATTAAAATTTCAGTGAAGGTACAATAGGTCATAATCGTCATTTCTAAAGTTTTTTGAAATTTTTTGACGCACATAGGTAAAAATATAGATGTAAATACGTTTAATTAAAAACTCAGTGAAGATGTACCATAGATTATAATCTTCATTTTTAAAGTTTTTTGAATATTTTGACGAAAATAGGTAAAAATATATAGTGTAAATATGTTAAATTGATATTTCAGTGAAGATGTACCTTAGATAAGTGACGATTATCATAATCGTTATTTCTAAAGTTGTTTGAAATTTTTTGACGCAAATAGGTAATAATATGTACAGACATCCTATAAATTTTATTTTAAGATATCGAATTCTATAAACATGATTTATCCACAAAAACCGGGGCAAATTGCCTTTTTATTACCCCGTCATCGGGAAAGAAATAAATATATAAAATTACTATGATAATATCTAATCCTAATATAGAAATTATTTTTTTTGTCTATTTTCATCAGACAATCTTGTTTAAATTGCGGCTAAACATTATACAACCTAGATTATTTTCTGCTAATACAATATTTTTTATACCTTATTTTTATATTTATTTCTTCATAAACGTATTAAATATAGCTAATAAAATTTTTCTAAGTTATTTAGAACTCAAAAACTATTTTCTTACTAAAAGTTAAAATATTATAATAAATTTCAGAAATTTAAAGAAGATTATTATTTAACTTAATAAATTCCTGTTATCCTATAATATATCTTAGTCTGAAATGCAATTTTCAGGAATTCTTTTTTATGAAAATATTTTGTAAAGTAAAAATAATAAAAGGGAGGCGTTTTTATACTTGGGTAACAACAGCTCCACCAGGAAAGTATAAAATTATTGAAATATTTCTGACAAGAATTACAAATATGATTATTATATTTACTACCACTAACGAATAAAATTATATCTATCAATTATATAATTTATTTTTCTCGCATATATTCATTATTGATATATGCAAAAATAAAAAAAATTTCATTTTATTAATATTCTACTATAAATAATAAAATATAATTATAAAGAGTTATAAATTTGCAACTTAGACATTTTAATAAAATTATAGAAATAATAAATATATCCACTCCCCACATGTCATAATTACCTTTTTCCTGGCATAGACAGACACCATCTGAGTTTATTGGGGGGGGGGGGGGGGGATCTAACATGGTCGCTATATAATTGCTGAATGTACTCATGTAGTTTTTATATATTGCATATTTTATCAACATTTTTTACTTGCCGCATTTTTAATATCACAATCATGATTTTTGCAATCTAAAATTTTCTTCATCTTTGCCATAAATAAAACTCCGGTTCCAATCCAAAGTTATTTTATGAAATGCAATGTTTTTATCAGAGACCTGCAGGCCCGGCCCTATACCCGGCCCGGGCAGGGCCGTATTTTAAATATACCCGGGCCGGGCCTAAAAAAATTTTTTTTAAACATATCCGGGCCGGGCCTAAAAAAATTTTTTTAAATATATCCAGGCCGGGCCGGGCTTAAGATTGTTAAACCCGGGCCGGGCCTTAATATTTTTTATAAAAATTTTTACATTATGAGTTAATGGTTATAAGATTATATTATATTATAGTTATGATTAATATAATGGTTTTTATATCTCAAAAAAGTTCAAAATTGTATATTCATTGAATATTATATAGACTTAAAATAAAAGGTTATTTATTTGATATAAAATAATCAAAAGAAAAAATAGAAGGTGCCAGCTAGGCGCAAAATCAACTTAAAATAAGAAATAAATAATATAAGCCTTCTTGCTAAATTTAGTGGTACTTTGGTATAAAAAAATAAGCTTATTATATTTTTTTTAATGTAATAAATTTTAAATAAGATTAGAGAGAGAGAAGGAGGGATTGGTTATTTATTTTTTAAAATAATAATTATAAAAAATATTAAATAATTAATAAATAAAATAGCAAAATATGAATGATATACTTTATTTTAATTTAAATTTAAACATTTTTATTAGTAATCTTCTTGTATATTGTATTGTGTTATAAAGTTATTATATATTTACAAAATAAATTTTAATATTGAAAAGGCTAAATTTATTTTTAAAAATATAAACTGTAAAAAGAATATTAATAAATTCTTAGATTTTTTTTTTGTCTGTCTCATTGGTTACTTTCTATAAATTGTAGCAAATATGATATTAAAAAATAATGGCATATAATAGATTTTTTCTAATATAATTGATAAAGGTAAATATAAAAATTAAATCTATATTAATCTTTTAGGTCTTAAAAAATTTAAAAACCTAAACTAAATCAAAAGACACCGGATTATAATAAGGGAAAGCCTAAAATCTTTAAGCTCATATTTTTAAAATGTAATAATTTTTAAATAACAATGGGATAGAAAGAGACGGAGGAGGCTTTGATTATTTATTTTCTAAAAAAATTTTAAAAAATATTCTAATTTAAATAATAAAAACGCAATTCGCAAAATATTATGATAATTTGTTATAATTT